GCCATATTGTTTTTTCTCATGCTGACATAAATGTGAGAAAATTTTATCCAGTTTGTATGTTAATGGAAATACTTGCTTTGCTTTATCATCACCATTACAAATGATTAATTCGACGCGAACGAAGTCGCTGGTACACGCTAGTTATTAAATAAAATATTGGGGATGGTACGATTTTATTTTAATTTTAGAGTTGTAATAACAATAATTATTTATGCATGTTCTAATTTGCACATGGGAAAATTGCTAGTCCTCCCCCCCCCCAAAAAAATTCACAGATTTTGCAACATGCGCAACCATCATAGGCGTATTGAAAATACCAGATACAATTCGGCGGTTGTCGGCAATCACCTGGTTTTTTTACATTTTATATTAATTTGTGACGTCATTTGGAAGAGCTAAATAGAAATATAAAGAACTAAACCTTGTTTGGAAAGCAATTTGACATTCGTGACGTCACCACTCCGGCAGTCTATGGTGCGTCCAGACCTGACGAGCCGAGCGCGAGACGAGAGCAAGACAAGAGCGAGACAAGAGCGAGACGAGAGCGAGACGTTTTCTATCCATTTTTTACGCCAACCTGCCACGAGACAAGCCGAGTGGGATCATAGTGAAAGAAAGCCAAACACATATTAAATTGCAATTGAATATAACAAACGATGGCCAAATAATAACGCATACAGTAATAAATTTTTGTATCTTTAATATGATATTCGGTCTTTAACATGGTATTCATCGTAGGTTTTCCCCTTTTTGGCTGTTTTCCCCTTTATCCCTTACACGACGTTTTTGACATAATACGTTGTTTAACGTTTTTAGAACAAAATGTTAAATAAAAAATTGGCGCCGGGAGGCACGTATAGCCGCCCATACTAAAATATGTTAATATCTCGAAAACTGCGACTTTAACTGATTTTGATGTTATTACAAACTAGGTTTTTCCCGCGACTACGTTCGCGTTACACCTCGAATAGTTCATGCATTGATTTAAATGATTTTCTTTGTATATAGAGCTAGTGAGCCTTACAAATGCCCTATTTAAACTATGTTTTTAAGAGTTTTAGAGCTACTCGTATTTCATATGAAAGTTATCAATTGTCGATTTTCTGGATATTATACAGGGCAAGTCTTGAATAAGTGCAAATATTTTCAGGGCTGGTAGATCTCGATAAAAAAAACATATTTTCTCTTTACCGTTTTTCAAATAACTCCAAAATAACTGAGTTATTTTACTTTAAAAATTTTCCAAAAAAAATATTTTTTGCTTAAATTTTGAGAACCACTGCAGCTTTTCGGGTTTTTCTGTCTTGTAAATTTAATCTACTACCTATCTATGTTGCCATATTATCAAGAAATTATGGTTTTTAACTAAAAACTAAAAAAATTCCAAAAGGTTTTTCAAAAAATTCCAAATTTCCAAAAAAAATTTCGCGAAAAAACTCATAATCGTGTTTCTGGGGTCAAATATACCTACTACCGCTAAGAATAATTGCACTTATTTAGACTCGCTCGACAAAAATGATATTATTTTTCAAAATAAAAATACTAAATCACCACAATACACCAAAACACTTTTACTTTTACACTGGGCGCGCGTTTCGCTAACCATGTTAGCATCATCAGCAGATGATTATAAACTCAATCTGCTGATGATGCTAGCATGAATAACTGCCCATCAGCAAAAGTACATATGACGACTAGTAATTTTATTTGCTGTCAACAACACCGAGGTTCCAACCCTCAACTGTAATTGTTATTTTTGACTTATTACATATTTTTACTTAAAATTTATAAAAAGCCGTCAATATTCCAAGAGCATTTTTATTCTCTTTAAATATTATTATGTACTTAAGAAAATTCGAAAATATAAAAACCGTTTTTTATTTTTTCATCGCCTGTATATGACTTTATGACACACTTTGTATACCAAAAATAAAATTTTTGATTAGAGCCGTCTGAAATAAAAAATCTTAATAATTCTAGAAGTTATCGAAATCAAAGTATTTCAAAGAAGTTCAATTTTGGCCACAAAATGTTTTTGAAATCTTGCTTTTTTAACACTTTTTTTCAATTTTTTCTAACTACTTCCATTGACTGAAACTAATTATGTATGCTTGGATAGAGGGTGGATGGTGATCTTCCAGGGCGGTTTTTTTTTCTTATTTATATATACCGTCCTGGTCATTTAATTACTGTGTATAGGATTTTAATGGATACGACAGAGAATAATACAATTGACCGGTTGATAGAGAGAGACGCAAAATAAAAGGGGGGATACAGTGTTGCCGGTTCGTAAACGTGTAGGCAGGATTAAGAATGAGCATGGTGGGAGCACAAATCGACTCCGATACCGATGATAAATAAAGAATAAAGGTCAGAGGTATCTCTATTTATAGTATTTTTATCGGTATTAAAATTTTCCCTCTTTATAGTTTTTCTAAAAATAAGTAGTTTTTGAATAAAGACCAGATTAAGAAAAAAATGTCATAAATACAAGATGGCGGCGTCATTTTGACAATGTTCCCCTAGTGGGAGATATGGGGACTTTTAGTGTCATCACAATCATAAAATTAATCTCCTGATTTCGCTAATACTAAAATCGAAGCATCGAAGCCTTTAAACGCAAATATCTTGAAAACCGTTTACCGTTTTGGACTAAACGAACAGCACCTTTTTTGCGTAAAAAAGTCCTAGCTTGAATTCTCATTTGTTGAAATTAGTGTAATTATAAGGATAAAAACCGTATTTTTTGTTTGATCATACGAAATATACCGGGTGCTATAAATTCGGGGTACGAGCATTGGTAACTCGGTAACCGTAATAGATACGAACTTGGTTAAATTGGGGCAAAGTTGCCACTTTGAGATGTTCACAAAGATGCCACCAAAAAAGTTTTCAAAATTTCAAGGATTGCTGAGTTTTTTAGAAAAAACGGATTTTTTTGAAAATCAATTTTATTTTTTCCTGTCGTTACTTTTTACAAAAAAAAACTAATTGCGCATTCTCATAGCCACTTTATTAGTGCTATCTGACAGTATTTTTAGATTTTCAAATTAGGTGATAATTTGTGAGATACAGAAGCCCACTTAATTTTTTTAAATACGGACCTGCATTTTTTAGTTCAGTTTTTGAAAGAACTCGGTCTCCTGAGTACAATGATGTGCCACACTTTATACTTTTTTTTTTGTTTCGGACATTTGGACACAATTTATTTAAACTAATTTCAAGTCCAGCTCTGATTTTTTAAATATTTAATCTATTCATCGTTACATTGTTGATAAGCCTTCAAACTTATCAATGACGTGGGGTAAAACATTGAATATGGAAAATCAAATGCAATAAAAAATCCAAACCAAATCAATATATTTTAACATTTACAATAAAGAGTAGGTACAAAATAAATTCAGAAATATTAAGGCGCATTATCACGACTCGTGTACTTGACAAACATTTGTTATTGGTATACAGGGTATACACGGTGCGTCGGGCATCTATACAGAATTTTTAAGTTATTTATTATAGGAACTACGCCGTACTCCTGCCAGACCCTGTATAATAAAAATACTTGCCAAGTCGTGAATACGAGTCGTGAAAACGCGCCATAAGAAGATATCTTCAAAGAGCTGTAAATAAAATTGAACGAATAATAAATTTGTGCAATAGGAAGGGTGGTAACCCTTTCAAACATGTAGAGCACTAGAAAATAGTTTGTATAAGTTGATTTATTTATAATAACTACGATGAATATTAAGCATATTATTAGATCGTACAATGAGATTTCAAATTCACAATAAAAAGAAGTTAAAGATAATATCTTTAAATTGCTGACCTGTATATTATTTATTTGAATCTTTCAATCAGCTCGATTTTCCTAATTCAATGTTAATATTATATAATCAGATTAAGTAATTTAAATTTAAAAAACCAGAGTCAGACTTGAAATTATTTAAAATTATAATTAAATAGTTTTGTTGTTGTTAAGGTACCCAAAACAAAAGAAAAGTATAAAGTGTGGCATATCATTGTACTCAGGAGACCGGGTTTTTTCAAAACCTGAAATAAAAAATGCAGGACCGTATTTAAAAAAATTAAGTTGGCCTCTGTATCCCAAAAATTGTCAGCTAATTTCAAAATCTAAAAATCCTATTAGACAGCCCTAATTAAGTGGCTATGAGAATGAGCAATTAGTTTTTTGATTTTTTAAAAAGCAACAACAGGAAAAAATAAAATTGATTTTCAAAAAAAATACGGTTTTTTCCAAAAACTCAGCAATCCTTGAAATTTTTATAACTTTTTTATGGCATCTTGGTGAACATCCCAGGCGCAACTTTGCCCCAATTCAACCTTCTTCGTATCTATTACGGTTTCCGAGATACCAATGCTCGTACTTCGAATTTGTAGCACCCTGTATAGTACCAATAAAAGAATTTTGATTTTTGTTGTTTATTCTATGTTTAACACGAATAAATTTTAATCAATTCAATACAAACGTGGATTTATCATCCAAAAATATGTTCGTCAAACGTATTACAGAAATCAAATAAGCCTTGTCACGAATTTGCCTATTAGGTTGCGTATCTTCCCAATTCTTTCAATCAATGATGTTAGTGCCTTCTTGAAAACAGAAAATCTCCAACAAAAATAAATCTGTTGAGATGAAACAAAAAATAAACTATCCAGAAAAGATGTGCTCAGATGATAAAATGATATTTGAATTCTTTGCTTTGTTAACATATTCCACAGGGTGTATCAAACTTTCACCAAAATATCAATATTTTATTTTCTCTCGTATAATTGACAGATGGGAACTTTTATTTTTAATTTAGAGGGAGATACTAAAAAGTCAAATAATTTAGCTAAAATTTGTTTAAAAAATCATCAAAATCGGCGCACTATAACAAACTATGTTAAATTTTAAAATATATCAAAATTTTAAGGTGCCTATTTTTCGTGTAAATATTTTTCGTAAAAATATTTTATAAAAGTGAGTGAGTGATACTTACCATTTTCCAAATCAGTTCCAATAATGTTATATTTTTCCCTAGGTCCACATCCATACTGTACGTCTAATTTACATGGTATAGTTCGTAGTAACTCTTCACTTTCTGAAAAAAAGAGTTAGAAATGATTCGATTGAAAATTAGAAAAATATAGAAGCAAAGATATAAAAATATAAAAACGATATCTATAAATAACTATCCTCAATTGAGTAAATAAAAGACACGTATTCTCACAATCTTATATTAAACAAATTGGAAATTGTGTTTGTAGTTTGAAGACCGCTAAGTATTCTTCTTACAGTAATTCCATTGACCACCACCATAATAACTGTCCTAATGTAATTCATTATTGTTGAAGTAATTACTCTGTAACTCTGTTAAATTTTGCTCGTATTCAATAAGGACAACGGCGTTTGCACAATAATCTTCTAAAGTAAGTACCATATTCAATCGTTGGCAAAGACCATTGGTATACAAAATGTAATTGTCAATATCACATTATGAGGAAAATTACAACAACTTTCGTTGCACGTCACATGCGTCGTCTTATGGAGTTTGCTGGTGGTCGTATTATGATGTGCAACGAAAGTTATTTTAATTTCCCTTTAGTCACCTACGCCGCCTTATTATATTAAAAAATAATATCAAATAGTAAATAATTGAAAAAAATGCAAATTATTGGTGGCAACAGATAAGAACGTCACTTTCGCTCTTAAAAAATAACCAGCCAGAAAGCAAAATGCTCGGAAGACACGATTCTGACCGAAAAATAACGTTTTAGGAAAATTTGTTCACGAAATTATTGCACAGGGTGTTTTAAAGATAGTGTAAAAAACAAACCCTTAAATTAACCCTGTACAAGGTGGCGCCTCTCATACGCCGCGGAAGCTCCAAGGAGAACGGTAGTTTATATCGAAATGAGATTTTGGCAGCATATGTAGGTTAACTGGAAGCATTTTATAAAAATATATAGAATTATACAGGGTGTCCCCAAAAAAGTTACACATCAAAGTTGTGTTTTTTCTAATGGAACCACACCTTATATATTAATTGATTTTCGGATTCTAGGAAAAAAATAAAGGTGAGTTTTATTAAAGAAGCATATACCTAAAATCTAAGGATTTTGACATATTTCACATTTAGTGAAAATGAAGAGTAAATTTTAAATTTCGATAACAGCTACCTAAATTTTAGTTGACCTTGTATAGCCTGATATTTAATTACAGTAACCATTGTATGGTAAACCAAATTGAAATTTGACCCGAAAAGTTATACAGGGTGAGACAAAATGAATATGGAACATTAGTCACTTTTAAAAGCAAGTTACTCTTTTATTTTAAATAGAACACCCAGTATATTATTCCGGTGTTCAATGGGGAATTTATATATCTTCAAAATATTATTAACGTTGCCTAACTCTCAGACAAAGATTTTCCTAGATATTTTGCGTAAGTAGACCTTTATTATTTAAAAAAATCTGGGGGGGTGGCTGTGATATACCTTGTGTTAAGTAAAATACTCAACGGTAATAAAAAGATACACGTAAAACATATTTTAATTATTACACAATTAAAACTAGATATAAACCTAAAATTGAAAATAGATGAAATCAAATGCTCAAAATGCTTCCTTTCCTGTTAACTGCATAAAATGATTGTCTTTTCAAAAGGATCTTTTCATTTTACACGGCATATGTGGAGGTCTACCTCAAAAAGCAGCTACAATAATTTCTCTCATGTTGTCAACAATATAGTTGGTCGAGTTTTTTAAACACTGTCTTTAACATATCCCCATAAAAAAAAACAGACTAGATAAAATCAGGAGCATTTAAGTATTCTATTAATTGGTGAATGCACACTGCAGTCACCAACTAATAGAATCATATCAATTTTCTCTGATGTAGGATAAGTTTGCATTTTCGGCAAATTTCTGAGAATTTTTTTTGTTTTAACTGACACAAAATGGATAACTAGTTGTTGAAGTTGGATTAATTAGACAGCTATGTTGAAGTAACGTTAGACCATATCACAGCCACCTAGATTTTATCAAATAATAAAGATCTACTCAGATCAAATCATGTAAATGAAAATATCTAGTAAAATCTTTGTTTGAGGGGTAGGCAACCTTAATAGTATTTTGAAGAGACATGGGGAGCCAGGAAGGAGCCTCCACGTGTGTATTTTCGCAGCAGCCAAATAATAAGCTAGAAAATGCCGGCGCTCCCTGGTAACGATGCCCGCAAGGACATCGGCCAATCCTTCCACCACCGGAACTCAATGCAAGAAGCTAAGAACAGAAACAAAAGGCACTTCTCAGAGCCATCTCTGACAATTGCTAGCCTGAATGTCGAAGGATTTACCCGGAACAAACAAGACCTGATCTCCCAACTATGCCAAATTCACAAATGGGACATATTATGCCTACAGGAAACGCATAGAGATGAACAAGCGCACAGGCTTAAAATAGAAGGAATGCGACTCGCTATCGAGGCACCACACAACAAATACGGCAATGCAATCTTTGTCAAGCCCGACACTAACTTAACCTCCACAGGCAAAACTGTAATGAATGGAACCGAGATTCTCACCATAGAATGCGGACCTTTCACGGTACTACGAACTTAATATGCCAGGAGACTTCGGAAGCCAAAAAACCCAATTTATCATAGGCGACTTCAACTGCCATAATATTAACTGGGGTTATACAGAAACCGACGCGAACGGCTCCATCTTGGAGGAATGGATGGAAACAAGAAGCTTCCAACTGCTCCACGACTCAAAGCTACCTTGCTCCTTTATGAGCAAAATCTGGAAGCGAGGCTACAACCCAGATAACTGCTTTATTAGCAGTAACATCCAAGACTGTTGTGTCAAAAATGTCTATGAAGCTATCCCCAAAACCCAACACAGATCTATAGGCATCCAGGTCTTCTCGGTTGTGAGATCTGCCACGGTACCCTTTCGTAGAAGATTCAACTTCAGAAAGGCTAAATGGGCGGACTTTACCGAGGAATTGGATAAGGCAATCAAAAAGGTCGACGCTACACCTAATCACTACACGGACTTTGTGGACACTCTGCGCAAAATATCAAGAAAACATATTCCAAGAGGTTGTAGACAAAACTTTATCCCAGGGCTGACTAGTAACACGAAGGACATACTAACCAAATATGAAGAGCTATATTCCAAGGACCCCTTTAGTGATGAAACAATAATATGCGGAACAACTCTGATGACCACACTTAGCGAGACAAGACAAAAAAGTGGATACAGTCCCTAGAAAGGATGGACATGAAACACAGCAGTAAGATAGCATGGAACCTCATCAAGAAACTTGATGGTGACCCCAAACAAACCCAGGAACCATCCAAAGTAACAGCCAATCAAGTAGCCCACCAACTCCTCCTAAATGGAAAGCCAACGACAAAAGGTCAGAAAGCACGACTGAAAGTTCTCCTTTTACAATAAAGGAACTCAACGATGGCATAAATACGCTGAAAAACGGGAAAGCTGCCGGAGTCGATGATATGTGCGTCGAACAAATCAAACATTTTGGGCCAGACACAAAAGAATGGCTCTTATAACTCTTCAACCACTGCCGAGAGAATTTCAGGATACCAAAGCTTTAGAAAAAATCAAAAGTAGTTGCCCTCCTAAAACCAGGGAAAGATCCCAACTCTGCGAATAGCTACAGACCAATCTCGCTGCTGTGTCATCTATTTAAACTATATGAAAGACTGATACTAAATCGAATTAGCAACGTCGTCGATTCAAAAATCATACCCCAACAGGTTGGCTTCAGACCTGGGAAATCATGCACCAATCAAGTCTTAGCGCTCACAGAGCATATAAAAAAGGGATATGAAAACAAAGGAATTACGGGGCTGGTCCTTGTTGACCTAACCGCTGCCTACGACACCGTCAACCGCCGCAAAATGCTGTCAAAAGTATATAACACAACAGGAGACTACCAATTAATGAAGATAATAGAATCACTCCAGCAAAACCGTCAATTCTATGTCACCCTTGAGGGGAAAAAAGCCGCTGGAGATACCAAAGAAACGGCCTAGCCCAGGGAAGCGTGCTGGCTCCGATTTTGTTTAATATCTACACCAACGACCAGCCAGCACCGGAAGACACAAAACACTTTGTATACGCTGATGACCTGGGCATTACGCCTCAAGGAAGAACCTTTGAAGAGGTTGAAGCAAGGTTAGAGAGCGCTTTAAACGCCATGTCTGCCTACTATGAGCTGAACTCCTTAAAACAAAATCCTTCCAAAACACAGGTCTGTGCATTCCACCTTCACACACGACTAGCAAACCGCAAACTTAAGGTCGCTTGGAACGGAGAGACCCTGGAACACACAAATAAACCTGTGTATCTTGGAGTCACACTCGACAGATCTCTAACCTACAAACACCACTGCGAAAAAAACCGTCAAAAAGTGGCTGCGAGGAAAAATATATTAAGAAAACTAACCCACAGTAAGTGGGGCGCTAAACCTGATGTCCTAAGAACGACGGCACAAGCGCTATGTTTCTCCAGAGCCGAATACGCCTGCCCTGTCTGGTCAAGATCGGCGCATGCCAAAAAGGTCGATGTAAGCCTCAACGAAACTTGTAGACTTGTGACAGGGTGCATGAAGGCTGCTCCGCTGGATAAACTGTACCAAGCAGCAGGCTTTCACAGCACTAACTCACGTAGGGAGGCACATTAATTCAGCGAGAAGTTTAAAAAAACATTCGACAATCGTCATCCACTTTTCGGGCAATACCAAGAATCTAAAAGACTAAAATCCAGACGACGATTTCTCAGCAGCCCCCTGGATGGACCACCCACAAACTATCCTCTGTCAGAAAGCCTGCCGAGTGGTGCCTCGTCCAACTTTAAAACCTGGAGAATGTTGAACAGCATAAGAACAGGAGTTGCTCCGGTAAAAAAACAATCTGATCAGATGGGGCTTTGCGCAACCAAATGATGACAAATGCGACTGTGGGATGATACAAGATATGGAACACCTTCTAAAGTGCGTTAATTGTCCTGCACATTGTAACTCCGACGATTTATGGCAAAGCAAACCCGAAGCATTGGACGTGGCTCAATATTGGGCCGAGAAAATATAGAATGTTCCGGTCACGAAAAAGTAAAAAGTAAGTGAAGAGACATGAATTCTCCATTGAATATCGGAATAATATACTGGGTGTCTCATTTAAAATAAAAGAGTAACATGCTTAAAGGTGACCAATGTTCAATATTAATTTTGTCTCACCCCGTATAACTTTTTGGATAAAGGTTTAATTTTATTTAAAGTACAATAGTTAATTTAACTACATATTAGGCTATACCGGGTAAATTGCAATTTAGATAGCTTTTATTGTAATTTAAAAATTGTTCTTTATTTCTAGAAAATGTTAAATATGTCAAAAACCTTACATTTTAGTTATATACTTCTCTTATAAAACTCACCTTTATTTTTCTCCCAGAATCCGAAAATCAATTAATATATAGGGTGTTCTATTACAAAAAACACAACTTTGATATGTAACTTTTTTTAGGGACACACTGTAGAACTCTCTATATTTTTTTAAAAAGTGCTCTGAATTAACCTACATATGCTCACAAAATTTCATTTCAATACATACTGTCGTTCTCCTTTGAGCCTCCGCGGCGTATGAGAGGCGCCATCCTGTATAATAAAGCCAAACACTGAGTTTATCAATTAAAGTAGATATCGATATATTTATATACACAGTTTACTAATTTGCAAAATAAAATATTGCAAAATAAAAATAATATAATACTTTAAATTAGATGAAAAAAAATTTTTTATGTCATTGCGTTTTTAGTATTTTTCTATGCATATTTTTGCTTTTATAGTTTACCACAGCTCCAACATAAACACAGCTATACCGGGTGCGTCTCAAAACTGGCTCAACTTATAACTTTTTATTTTTTATAGATAAAAAATCGAGATTTGGCATGTTTGTATATGACATAAATTAGATTGATTATTCAATTGTTTCGGGTCATTTCCTGTTTAACCGGAAATTACTACAACTTTTGGTTTTTAAACGGTATCCTCAGTATTTTGTTACTTTAATCGATAGAAAATGACATTCTGAATAGAATGACAACATGCTATTCGTAACAAACACAACATGCCAAAATTGCAACATGCCATTCGTAATGTCAATTTGACTCGAAATACCAAATGTGTGGTACCAAATTATTCGTGAAAAATGCTTTTTTCAAATATGCTAATGAGCCACCCTCTTTCCATTTGAAAAAATTGAGATATGATTAAAAAAGTGTTTTGGGCATCTTTTAACCGGCCAGGACAAGACACTAAAATCATTAGAAGATCAAATCTATTTTTCTAAGGCTCCTTCATTAAAAATTAGTGTTTTTAACATAGCCACTCTAGATTGAATTTTAAAATACGATTTTTTATTAAGCGAGAATGTCAAATGTTGACATATGATATGTCATTCTATTCAAAATGTCATTTTCTATCGAATAAAGTATGAAAATATCGAGGGTGCCATTTAAAAATCAAAAGTTTTGTGTGATAAGAGGCGACATGTCCCTATCATTTAAGTGCAGTAGCTCTATAGTTGACAATAGACACTAACAGTCATCTGTAGCTAGATACTAGTTGGTCACGTAGGCACGAATATATCTGCACATTTTCTAATTGTTGTAACCCCCTTTTATTGTTATTTCGTAACACGGAATACTACTAACTAGTATAGTTTTATTTCAAGACCATAACATATTACATGGTGTCAGGCTGGTACGGGTAAAAATTCCGCTAGAAAAACAATTAAAAAGAAAATTGTAAAAAAATGGAAAACTTGTTCAAACCCCCAGAACCCCTAGTCTTAGATGGAAATGTTGCAGAGAATTGGAAGAGATTCAGCCAAAAATTTGATATATTTTCAACAGCGACAGATCTAGAGTCGAAATCTGAAGATAAGAAAGTGGCCGTCTTTTTAAACCTGATAGTTGACGAAGGACTAGAATTATTTAATAGTTTCAGTTTTGAAAATGGAGACGAGAAAAAGTTAGATAAAATCAGAGAGAAGTTTCATGAATACTGAAGTTTCATGAACCAAAACTTACTTTAGAAAAAGCAGTAGATGTTTGCAGAGCAACCGAGTCAAGTAAATCGCAGTCAAAAATATTAAGAAATGAAAGTCAAGTCGATGCTGTACAGAAAACCATGTAACTTTTGTGGGTACAAACATGGCAAGTTTGGTAAATGTTCTGCATATGGGAAAACATGTGCAAAATGCCAAGGTCGGAATCCTTTTGCTGCTGTGTGTAGGAAAAAAGAAGTCAGACCAGAAAGAAACAACAAAACCAAGGAGAAAAAAGTTCATGAAGTTGAAGCATGTAGTTGCAAGGTGAATACTGAAGATGATGACACAAGTGATGAGTATTTTGTTGATGGTATACAGTCTATCGGGTCCGTAAAAGCAAACTTATGTTGGAAGCAGGAGGTATGTGTTAATAATCAGTTAGTTGAGTTCAAGTTAGATACAGGTGCTGAAGTGAGTGTATTATCACTTAACTTGATTGAAAAATTGAAACTGAAAGATAAAATAAATAAAACTGGAGTTACCCTTGTATCATATGGTGATAATAAGTTCAGAATTAAACCACAAGGTGAAATTTTATTAGACTGTAAAGTTGGTGAGAATGTGACTCATGTTTTATTTATTGTAGTAGATACACTTGATCAATTACCTTTACTTGGACTCCAGGCTTGTGGAGATTTAAAATTAATAAAGAAAGTAGCTACAGTATTAACTACAGCTCTTTAAAAATATTCAACTGTTTTTCTCAAGAGTTGAAATGTATTATTAATTGAAATGGAACCATACAGTGTTAAAGATTTTTTTTTGTAACAAAGATGTAATCATAACGTAAGTATGTAGAATAGTTGTTTTGATTTGTTTTTGTTAATTTTCTGACGCACATCTCATCTAATTCATTTTAGAACATTCGACCAATATACAGTAATGAACCCATGCATGCGAAATCTGAACACTTAAAACGGCCATCATAAGGAAACTGCAGGTCGCTCAATGGAACGAAATATGCTGGGAATAATCAAGGGAGACTGGAAAATAATAGAGCGGATACGACAAAAGACCCAAGTAATAGATTACAGAGTCAAATCCCTCAAGTGGCAATGGGCAGGACACCTGGCAAGGTGTTTGGCAAAAAATTAGAGCATGGTACCACAGAATATCTAGCTACGCAACAGAAAAATACTCGAAATGAAAGAGCTAAAATTGCACAAATAGAATACTAGATGGCGCGACAATATCATAATCAGAATATAATTAGAAATTTTGAACTTTCGGTTTTGGATCGACGGCTCGTCGACGGCCTTATAATAGCTCGGCTAAATATGCACAGTTGCCAGATTCAAAAAGACTTGAATTGGCATCCCATTCTTTTTATTGTGTATAATGCAGTATGTGTTTCTTTCTATTCTTCTTTTCTTGTCAGATACACTTATATTAATTATGCCTTTGACTATTAAAATAGTTTTAAGTATATTATTACAAAACATGTACATTTTTAATATACACTACCTTATAATGTTAACTAAGAAAATACCTTTAATTACCTTTAAAATTAATAATAGACAGGGCGATTGATAGTGATATTTATTAATGCTGGAACGTTAGTAATGAAATATAAGTTTAATAATAATGGAAATAATTTATGAAAATGCAGTACAAAAAATGTTAACTGACTAAAAAATACTATAATAACAAATTTCTTCCGTTTGCCACGTTATTTCTATAGACCTAGGTAGATTTTGAAAAGTGACACAGGTAAAATGAATAATATATTAGTTCGGCATAAAAGCTGCTGTTACGACATCGAACAATAAATTAAAATTCGTAAAATAAATTAAAATTATTAATTAAACAAATCTTTATAAAGAAACGCAAGTATACCAAATTTGGGCCCAATCGAACTCCAGGAAAAGATATCATAATAGTGTACTATATATTATGGTACTACTCGATATGCTTTAAGGTACCATAATATTGCAATGTCACCGAAGATCCGTAGTATACCAAATTTAAGAACAATCGAACGTCATGAAATGGTATCGTAATATGGTACTATACAGGCTTTTAAAGCCTGTCTCCTTTTGCTACCTACAATTTTATACATGTAACGAGGCTTCTGTTGCGTAGCTAGATATTCTGTGATGGTACCTACGAGGAATCAAGAGGTCTAGAAGAAGACCGAACCTGAGATGTGACCAGGATATTCGAAAGTTAGCAGGGATAACTTGGGCCCGCATAGCCAACAATAGACAACAATGGGCCCAACTACAAAGAGGGTATGTGAGGGAGGCTACACCATAATTGGAAATGGTTGAATAAGCTGAAAATGATGACGTATAAACCTAGTCTATGGCTGCGTGGCGTAATGTGTGGCACTGTTAACTTAAATAATCTCACAAAAATGAATTAAACTGAAGCGTACTTACTTTTATTTATTAATTCCAAATGTATTCCAACAACAGTTTCTTTGGTATACCTTCTAGTCCACCAGCTTGGGGTGTAAAAAGATTCTATTTCTTCTCCCGTACTCATTTTACTAACAATTAATTTACTAATTCAATAGAGATAAATCAAATAAAGAAAACTTTTGGCACGATCAAAAGTTTATTAAACCTGAGACCTTTATTTATTTAATTAGATGTTTAGTAATTATGTAATTTGATTTTAATTTGAAGTGGTCAGTTTTTACAATATATGGTGGATCACTTTATTGTTTAACACATTATGTTGTGTAGAGTGTGTCTAAAGGTGTACCTAATTTCCTTTTTTTGGAGAAAATGTTTCATTTTGAGAATAAAAAGACATGGTGTAATATAATTAAAAAATATCTTAAAATTGCCATGCGAAAAAAATTGTTGTTTTAGCAATATGATTACGTATATTCCTCCCGTAATATTATGATGGTTCGAATTAAATTGAACATATAGGATTTAACTCAGGACCGTATCTAAACAAAATTTTTGATTGGATGTTTAAATTTAGAAATGTATTTTACAAATAAACCCAAATTCTACGTCTACATTTTACCCCAAAACGTTTTTATAGTAACTTTTACCATCAAAATTTCATTTTAATCACTAAAGTACTTGATTACCTGATGATTTAAATGTTGAAATCCTCAAACTGTTTTACGAAGAAAATATGAATCTTCTACTTAAATTGTTTAATCGCATCTACAACACCGGAGAGATACCTAAACAATGGCTGCAATCCACATTTGTAACGCTCCCTAAAAAGTCAAACTCCAAAAGATGCAATGAGTATCGTCTGATAAGCCTTATGTGTCATACATTAAAAGTGTTTCTGCGTGCCCTGCACTCTAGAATATGGAGAAGGATTGACGAAAATATAAGTGAAACTCAATTCGGCTTTAGAAGTGGGCTGGGAACCAGAGATGCTTTGTTCTCAATACAGGTTTTAGTCCAAAAATGCCTCGATCAGCAGACAAGTGCCTTCGCATGTTTCATAGATTATGAGAAGGCATTTGATAACGTGAAATATGACAAGCTGATACATTTACTGAAGCGTATTGGGTTAGATGGCAAAGACATCAGAATCATTAGAAACTTATATTGGAATCAGTCAGCTTATATAAAAATCGGAAATATGTCAACAACGGATATAGAAATTCTTAAAGGCGTCAGACAAGGATGTATATTATCGCCACTTCTGTTTAATTTATATTCTGAATCGATATTCCAGGAGGCGTTGGAAGATTTAGAAGTGGGAATAAAGATGAATGGTAAACCTATTAATAACATCCGATATGCTGACGATACGGTGCTCTTAGCTGGCAATGAGAAGGATTTGCAGTGCCTGGTGGACAGAGTTAGCAGTATTAGTCAGAGTCATGGTCTTAAAATAAATATAAACAAAACAAAATTTCTGATAATCATAAATTTTAAACAAACAAAATATCGAAAATATCAGGATACAAGTGGAAGATCAAAATATAGAAAGGGTAAGAAGATTTAAGTACTTGGGTTGCTGGCTGAATGATAAATGGGATCCTGATGAAGAAATCAAACATAGAATTGAAATAGCCAGAAACACTTTTTTCAAAATGAAAACTCTACTCTGCAACCGAGACCTGAATCTGACTACTCGATGGCGAGCTACCAAATGCTATGTACTCTCTACATTGTTATACGGAGTCGAGGGATGGACGTTGAAGGCACGGACCATGTCACGCTTGGATTAATTTGAGATGTGGTTATACCGACGAATGTTGAAAATATCCTGGACCGAACGAATAATAAATCTCGAAGTATTAGAAAGAATGTGTAAGGACCAAGAACTATTAACTACAATAAAACGACGGAAAGCAGCATATTTTGATCATATTTTTCGAAATAACAAATATAGTTTCCTACAGCTGAACGTTGAGGGAAAGATTGAAGGACGACGAGGCATCGGGCGTAAATGGTTTTCCTGGTTGCGGAATTTGCGCCAGTGGTTTAATATAGGAGAGGCCAGTGCAATTATCCGTTTGGCTCAAGACAGGGAGGAATTCCAATTGATGGTCGCCAACCTCCGATGAGGAGAAGGCACACGAAGAAGAAGAAGAAAAGTACTTGGAAGAAAATTATAATAAATCGAAAAATTATTAAGAATTTAACACTCTGTAGCTACGAAACAAAGCAGAATCGAACCTATGTTGATATGAAAAATAAATCTTATTTTTACGTGAGGAATCTCCCCACCAGAGATGGCACATGTTTTTTGAAACACCCTGTATAATTACGGCTGATAAAAATGCCTAATCTATACAGCAGATGCTTTAACATCAGGAACCCGTGAGTATTATTATCTATATTATCCCCTGAGATCTTAATATTACATTGTTTATTATATATAATATTATAAGTTTAAGTTTACTTGCAAGTAACTTAAGAGTCAATTTCACTAGTACGAGAAAGTAGCAAAATAAGCATTCGGCATTCAACCAAACCAAACCAAACTGGTTAGGTATTTTTACGCAAATGAAGAAGAAAATTAAAGATAAAGGATTATACTATATCTGTCGTATTGTAGCACATTTTTAGACAACTTTCTTTATTTTTAAGATTTTGATGGTCAAACATCAACAAAATATCCCTTATGTTTGGACCAAATTTTATCGAAAATAAAGATATAATTTAGAATTCCGGTACATTACAGGGTTGTTCACCACATACGACACGGAGTATTGTAGCTACATAATTAGATTTTTACAAATTGTAAGTTTTGGGTTCGTTGACGGACTATTAGAGCTACAATTTATTTTTACAAGATACAGAGTGTCCCAAATAAATAAAAAATATCAAAGTTGTATTTTTTTAAATGGAACACCCTGTATATTATTACATTTTTAGTTTCTACGATTAAAATAAAGGCAAATTTGATTAAGGTTTATTACACTTAACCCTTAGCGGCTTTTGAAATATTTTCAATTTTGTGAAATTGCAGTAAAAATTTTAAGGCTTCATTTCTCCAAGGGTATCAAAGTTTTTAATACTAAATATTTACTGAAGTTTATTTATTGATCAGTTATTGTGTTGCAATAATAAGAATAATACTACCTCATACAGAGTGTCTAAAATTTTATTTTAAATAATTGCTAGCTTTAAACGGCAATAAGTTGTTTAATTTAAATGAAGCGCCCTGTATATTTTAGGAGAATCAGATGCATAATTTAATTGTCTATCAAATTGTACTATACCACTTTTTACCTATCCCTTCAAGTTTTCGTAGAAAACATTTATCAATATACCCATGGAATATTGACTTTTTGATTGTTTTTAAAGCAACAAATGTACAAAATGTACAGGCTAGTAATATTGTCAAGACTTAAATAGATGTCAACTTGGGTTTAGATCAAATTGGGAAAAAAACACAAATAATATAATTCTAGTAAATAAAATATAATTCGATTAAACCAATTTGATATAGGCCCAAGAGATCGGTTACCTGCATGACATCGACCCAGATATGTTTTTAAATAACATTGATAATTAAACAATTAAAATACAACAATCTCGGGTCGATAATCAAACGCAGGCTACCAAAGTTCGATTTCCTCATGGTCATAGCCGGGTGAATGTAATTAGATGAAAACAGATTGAACGACGTAACCGGCGATGACCACGAGGGATAAAAAATATAAAAATGTATGCTGAAGAGAGTCGGGGGTTAGTCCGTCGATGTGAGTCGCATTATTACGGTCAGTAATTCGCGTTATCAGTCCGTCAGTAGAAGACAGCGCGGAGTGAAGATGTTCCTGTAAGTACTTCTTTAAGTAAACCGTTAAGTCTTGGCATTCCCCAAAATTGTTATATATTGTGAACTTTATATTAAATAAATGCATATTTTATTCAATGGTTGTTTTGATTGAGAGAGAGAACCTGGTATAGCGACCCTAGCAAACAACCCCAGCTAGGTCGCGACAATATTATCGTTTTTAGCAAAATGATAATAATGATAATAATACTAAACTATTTAAATCTTTATAAAAGAGTATACAATTAATTAAATATACCACCATTATTTCCGCCCAAATACTAATTAATTACATACTTAATTATGCTCGTTAATAAATTATTCTAAATAAATGTAGATTTGAATCAAAAATCAATATAATAATAAGTTATAAAAATGAATGTCTCTGTTATAAATAAGCATTTGTCAAAAAATGAAATATCATTTTTGATGTGTTACTTTTTACCACACTGTCTAAAACACATAAAAAATTCAGTTTTTTAGTATTTGAAGCAATTATTATTAATAAACGCAAACAGTCAATTAATGTAGTTTGAATACTGGAATTATATTAATTGGTCCTGTAACAAATATTCAAACAGTTTTTTCTTTATTTTTTATGAAATAAACAAACTATATCGATAATATTAGTATCTGTACTCTTTAAAAATTTGGTATATCTTTAAAAATAATCTAAAATGTCAGTATTCCATGGGTATATTGATAGATGAATTTAAAATTACAATAAAATGCATTTTCTACGGAAACTTGAAGCGATAGGTAAAAAATGGTATAATACAATTTGATAGACAATTAAATTATGCATCTGATTCTCATAAAATCTACAGGGTGTTCCATTTAAATTAAACAAGTTATTGCCGTTTAAAGCTATTAATTATTTAAAATAAAATTTTAGAACTCTGTATAAGGAAGTATAGTTTTTATTATTGCAACACAATAACTGATCAATAAATAAACTTCAGTAAATATTTAGTATTAAAAACTTTGACACCCTTGGAGAAATGAAGCCTTAACATTTTGACTGCAATTTCACAAAATTGAAAATATTTCAAAAACGGTAAGGTTTAAGTGTAATAAACCTTTATCAAATTTACCTTTATTTTAATCATAGAAACTGAAAATGTAATAATAGACAGGAATGTTCCATTTAAAAAAATAAAACTTTGATATTTTATATTTATTTGGGACACTCTGTATCTTGTAAAAATATTTTTAAATTGTAGTTCTAATAGTCCTTCAACGAACCCAAAACTTACAATTTGTAAAAATCTAATCATGTAGCTACAATACTCCGTGTCGTATGTGGTGAACAACCCTGTATTGAAGTTTTCTAATTACAGTGTTTTGTAGCAAATTGC